CCCCAAAACCCCAAAACCCCTGGAGTCTGAATCCTTGCACCAATGTAGATTATTTGAAAGAAAACTTAACTATAAATAGTAGGCGACTTATTGTTAATTTAATATGTATTATTATAAATCACCAACTATGGTATGTTAAATCAATCCAATTCAATTATAATAGATCATTAGACTACAAAATGGCGCTACAGACAGGAACGAAAATGAAGGTTTTGGTGTTTTAATAATCTGTTATATAATTAAGTTTTATTTTTTTGATAATTTTATCTATGAATAGGGCTTTCTTCTTTATACCTGTCATATTAATTGTCTCCGCCACTTGTACTTTGGTCTTCTCACTCATATAGAACTAGTCTAGGGTGACAACATTGTTAAATGTTGGTTTGGTTTTCTTATTTCTAATACCGAGCAAATTTTCTATCTACTGGTGAAGCCCTTTGACATAGCTTCAACCTGTACCGCTATCACCATAGTTTGAATCTTTTACAGCTTAACCATGCACTGGAACAGTTTAGCAGTATATTATAACTCCGCAATCTTTCTATCAAATCAACATCTGTGAACTTGACTCTCTTACACACATCGTGGGACCTACCTACTCTAACAAGGCCTTGCATTGCCTTTCTCTGTTTATGAATGGCTTAGCATTCACGAGTGTCATTTTAGCGTGTTTACACCTATAGTCAACGCCATCATGTCAAACTCTCATTCAACAATTAGAATCTAAAAGGGTAGCTTGTCAAGATTTTCCAAAAGATCGGTATCTATATCTTCAATGACAACTGTAAACTCATTACAAATCTTCTTGATCTCTTCAGTAAGATCAGCGTTGCAAATCACAAGCACTGGACCAGAGACTTAAAATTTCTTAATGTGAGTTGTCTTCTCCTAGAGTAGCAGCTTAAACATTCTCATCCATCTGTAGATCAGCAATATTCTTGACAGGCTTAAATTTTGGCTCAATCATAAAGTCGAACTTGCTGAGCGCAAGCATACCTCTTACCTTAGCTTCTGCTCCTTTCGCGTAACAATTATCGGGGGCTCCAGTAAAGCACAAGCAAGCATACTAATTCACAAGCTTCATAAATTCCTCTATCAGATTGAGCATGAATTAATCAGCTTCATTTATTATGACCAGCTCTCCCTTTACAGGTGTGATGTTACAGTCAGCGTGATATTGGATCCAGGTCTCATCGTAACCTAAGAGAGCCCAGAACTCAGCAAAGGCAGCACGGTCTCTCTTCATAAGATAGCTTTCTCAAAAACAATATGCACCTTGGTTTATGCTCCACTGATAAGAGAAATAGCAGTAGATGTAGCAGCTATTCTAGACTTGCCTTATCCGAGAGGTATAAACCATAATTGTCTTGAGACTTTGAATAGCTTACCAGCGCAGTAATGAGGCAAAGCAAGCTGACTTTTTTTAGGCTTTTTCTCTGATGTGTGGACCACTATACATAAGATGCAGTCTTAATTCAGAGTGAGATCTGTCTTCAACAAGTCCTCAGTGATCCCTCCATACTTATCACTCAACTCTTCAATGAATGATTGAACTTATTCACCATCTTCTACTACTGATTTCACCTGGTACTTGTTGATAAGAACCTTCCACTCACAGAGAGATTGCATCATAAACTCTTCCTTATGATTAGTGATTATAACAAAGACACTGTGCTCTTAAACATCTGCAGCAAGTTACAAATAGTCATTCACACATATCTTTTGTTGCTTGAAAAACTCTGAAGCAGAAACCTTCAAGAACAAGTTAGTGAACTCAACAAAAAATGCTTAGTCATCAAGTTATACAGCAAACGATAGTACCAATAGACGGTCATCTACATTGCTGTTGTTATCTATGAGGTAAGAGATAAGCTTGAAGTATTACTCTTCAATGTGCTTGTAGTATTAGCCCAAGCAGTTAGCAATTTCCTTTCTGAATCATTAGCAAGGTTCAACACTAGCACCTTGAGGAATTAGGATAGTTTATCTTTGTCCATACTGTCTAATAGCTTGACCGAACCATTCCAGCAAGCACCACCAAGAATGAAAGAGAACATAAATATACAGAGCATTCTCTATTCATTTAGTGAATCAGGACGAGTGAGTATGATTAGCAAAAATGCAATGAGTGATGGATGCTTATCACTGCTGATACAATCTAGCAGTAAGTCTAGTGTGAACTGCTCACATATATCAAGCAAGACTTACTTTAAGAGTATTCTGTTCCTTTTACTTGCTTCATTCTCCTTAAGCTTTACTACTACTAGATTATCAGTCAGTGCAGCCACATACACAGAGTTACCTGATGTAGCAGGTTCCATATCAATAATTACAGATCGAGTAGGAGTGCATGTGATAAAGGCATCAAGGTTTGCATTCATAAGAGAACTATCTTACTCCTTTGTCTCTTAGCAAATGGAGCACTTGTCATTTCATACTCTTTTTATTATTGTTGAGGACTTGTTTCATCCTGCATTTTAATATCAGCATCAATATTTAATTCAAGATAGCTTTAAATAGAATCATTTAACTGCTCGATCTCTGTTTCTGAAGCATATCTCTTGCCTAGAGTGAAACGTTGTACATTAGCTTCAGTTAATTGGTTGTTTTTATTGTTAGTATTGATGTTGTTACAATTGCTGTTATTAGTTGGTGTTTTTACTTTCAGAAGGCTGTGAATACCTATCACACAACTTACACACCTATAGACTCACACCCTTGACAAAGAGATCAATTCTCTTC